GGGTATTGTATAACTATTTTTAGTACACTACTGATTATCACTTGTTTTTAACTTCAAGCTTAGAAATTTGTGATACTTATGTTGGTAAAGTAAAAGGAACACTTATTGATTCTTCCGCGTTGGATTGCCTCATAATGGTGTCGGGCGCCATCACGACCTATAATGGAAATTGGGTCGTGACAGTTAATGTATTGTTGGTTGGTATTATTGTATTGTAATAGTTTCGACTGAATTCCGATGGAAACAGTCGGACAGCTGCCTAGATTTAACTATAAATTCCCAGATTTCCGACCGAATCGGTCGGAATTTTTTTAAAAAAAAATATTCAATTGTTTGCGACGGATTCCGTCGGAAACTAAATAAAATTTAATTTTTAATTATTAATTTCCGACCGACCCGGTCGAAAATTTAAAAAAATTTCGACGGATTCTGTCGGAAATAAAAAAAATTTAACTTTTAATTATTAATTTCCGACCGATTCGGTCGGAAGTGATATATTTATATTATTTAATTTTAAATAAATAATTGTTTTATTTGTTTTAATACGACTAATTCAGTCGATAAATTCCGATTGGTCGGAAACGTGAAATATTTAGTCGTATGACCTTTTGAAATTTGCGACCACTTCGGTCGAATTCCGACCAACTTTTTTTCGACCGACCAATTTTGGTCGGAAGTAGTCGAAAATACGTGATTTCCGACCGTATTCCGGCCGTTTTGGCAGTTGGAAATCTGCCATTTTCCAGTAGTGTCATATGTCCGTGTGGCAATATCTTCAAGGAAACTTAGCCAATTGTCATGCTAAATAACAGCGGCATATGTGAGGACAAATGTCCAATACACTTGTCTTATTTCTAGCCCTCCTTAAAGCCTATATAAAGGCTCATCAATAGACTTCCAAAGATCATCAGAAACATTTCCTTTCTTTCCTTCGTTTCTACACGTTTTGGTTAGTATGCTTAATAGCTAGCCATTGAAAATATAGAAAACCTTATTCTTTCTTCAAGAAATTCCTGCTCTAATTATTCCTTAAGATTTGCTTGTGTATTATTTAATTTTGCTGATTCCTGTATCCTCTAAATAAATAGAGATGGGTTTGTTTAATCCCGGGGAAACATTTCACATTGCTGAAATAGTTTCTTAGGACAGTGCCCAGCACGACTCGAGCCAATTCGTGTATTTCCGCTCACAAATATTATTGTAGTATTATTGTTGTTATTTTTTCGTGTCATTCCCCTATAATTTTCTCCCTAAAAAATCGTGCGCAGTTAATAAAACTACATTGTGCAAATTGAAACAAATCTCAAATAAAACGCTCTAATACTTGTAAAAGGAATGTCAATATCGTACTATTATATTATAAATAACAGGAAGAAAATGAACTCCGGTTTTGGGCTAGTTACCAACAAGATCACTCTGCTTCTTAAGATCAGTGGCGGCCTGGCGAATTTTGTGGCCTAAAGCCAAATTGTATGAGGAGCATTAACTTTTTAATTTTTTATATTGTTATTTGAAGTTTATTTTTTTTTAGCTTTTTTTAGATACAAAGTTATTAATAATTTTCTTATAATCAATAACTCCTAATAAGTAATTCTCAATACCATTTAACCTTTCTTGTGATGTTGTTGTTCTTAGGTAAGATTTTATCAATTTTAATTTTGAAAACTTCTTTCCGCTGAATTGACGGTAACATGAGTTATGAACTTTATTCCACGAGCAATTTAGGTATCTGTAAAAGAATTAAATCTCTTTATTTGATTGAGTGTATCAATTAAACTGTTACTAATTGTACTATTTTCCTTAATACTTTTAATTCAGAAAATAAATCTAAACCATCAATATCGAATTGATTATTATGCTTTAAGGAACATTCGAGATTAAGGCAATATTTCTTTAAATTTCCAACATCTGGTGATTTTTGTTTTTACTGCCAAACAGAAAACAAAAATATATTCATATGCGTCGAATTGTTCAAATCTATTTTGAAGTGAAAAAATAGTCTTGTCTATTGTGTATAAAAGTAATCAACTCTAAAGGACTCTTCCAAAGATTCTGAGATTTCATTATTAACATTCGCATCAAATTGTTACTTCCTACATATCACACGTCTCTTACGAAATTCGGGTTCGATATTCATTTCAAGTGCAATTTCCTTGGTAGAAATCATAGTAGTTGCAAATCCTTCTTCTCTATATTTTCTAAAGAAACAAATCAAACTTTTTCACTTTACTGAACTCTTTTTTAAACTTATACATAGTCTATTAGGTGTAACAAAAAATGGGACCCTTACGGATATGGGGCCTAAAGCGGTTGCTTTACTTGCTTTATGGAAGGGCCGCCCCTGTTAAAAACGTACGCATTCATCTTTACAACAGTTGCTTTTGCGAAAAGATATTTTCAAATTTTAAATTAATAAAATCATACCTAAGATTAACCATGAGAAATTAAACAAATTAGCTATATATTTTATCAATTAAAAAATTACTAGAAGCAATCGATTATAAAAAAATTATTAATAATTTTGTATCTTAAAAAGTTGAAATTAGGCTTAAAAAAATATATACACAAAGTAGGGCTGCTTATCGGGCGGATTGGGCGGTTATTTACTCTTAACGGTTTGGCTTATCGGTTATCGGCTTTTAAATGTATTAATCCACTAGCCACCCGATAAGATATCGGGCGGATTGGTATCGATTTAGCTCTTATTGGGCGGTTATCGGGCGGTTTATCGGCCTAATTCAATCAAAATAAAATAAAATTTAGTTTCTGTATGTTTAAATAGGTGGTCGACGTACTAAGAGGGACGAAGCAGAAGAGACACCGTGATGGGTAAATCATCTCTCTAGAATCTTATTTATGTTTATGCACATTAGCCTTAGTCCATGTGAAAGATTTCCAATTGGCCGTTGTTAAAATAAATGTTCGTCATGCTTTGAATTCTAGGATGCCTTAAAACCAGGCAAAGTTGATGAAGCAGTGGTGTAACTGGTGTTGTTATCTTGTTTCAGACAGCAAATTCTGTCTTTTGTCACAGTTGGATGACTCCTTTTATTTGGCTTTCTTTTATTCTAATTCACTTTGATAGAGTACCGGAGGAAGAAGGGTTTTTGATTATTTAATATATACATAAAATAAATTTTATATGTATATATATATATATATATATTCTTAACGGGTTAACGGATTATCCTTAAGAAAATTGAATAATCCGCCCCCAAACCGATAAGTCGTTAATAAAAAAATTCGATCCGTTTCCCGTCCGTTAAACCGTTAACCCGATACCAATAAGCCATTAAGCTTCGGTTTCGGTTCGGTTTTAAACACCCCTAACACAAAGTTTTATTTTAGGCGAAATACATAAAGCGCCCCTTCAAGTTGTCCTCAACGATCATTTGAACACCGCAACTGAGACCATTTCCAGCTAGACACTTCAAGTGACTGTTAAGTAAATCAAATAGACACCCCTATGCAGCCAAATGCGTGAGTTACACTTGCCAAATGAGCCAATCAATGAACGACACGTGTAATTTGTAATTAAAATTTAACATAAATTAACCAAAAAAAGAAAATGAATTTAAAGAAGAAAAAACTCTTTTC